GCCTCCTGGGTTCAGGCAATTCTCCTGCCTCAGCCTCCTGAGTAGCTGGGATTACAGGCATGCACCACCATGCCCAGCTAATTTTTTGCATTTTTAGTAGAGACGGGGTTTCACTATGCTGACTAGGATGGTCTCGATCTCTTGACCTCGTGATCCACCCGCCTCGGCCTCCCAAAGTGCTGGGATTACAGGCTTGAGCCACCGCGCCCGGCCCTAAGCACTTTATATATATTCATTTAATCCTCACAAAAGTTCTTGGAGGTATTTCCCCCATTTTATATATGAGGAGACTGGTATACAGAGAGGTTGAGTGACTTTGCCCTTAGTTTAGTAATTTGGCAAAGTTGGGATTTAAACCCAGTGTAGCTCCAAGATCTCTGCTCTTAACTGCTGTGCTAGCTTTTCACTGACAATAACACAGGTGGAATTTGGGTAAGGTTTAGATGCAATATTCAGTATTTTTCATGAATTTGTGACTAATGCCCTACACATAAGAATTTTACCTAAATATTTTAAATTCTGACAATGCAAAGTTGACGGTGTGACTGAAAACAGATGTTATGTGGACAAAAGCCTCTTTTAGCTATTGTCAATACTAAAGGGAAAGTTTTTTTAATGTTAAAGATATTATGTTAATCTGGCCGGGCGTAGTGGCTCATGCCTGTAATCCAAGCACTTTGGAGGCCAAGGCGGGCGGATCACCTGAGGTCAGGAGTTCAAGACCAGACTGACCAACATGGTGAAACCCCATCTTAAAAAAAAAAAAAAAAAAAAAAAAAAAGATATTATGTTAATCTCTAGAAATTCTTGTCATGTTTCAGTACTTCTTTGGTAAATTGTTAGGATTCTCAAATTTATTCTACAAGTCTTGAATCTGCTTTCTGTGTTTCAAAAACATCTTTTAATTTTGTCTAAAAGTAATGGAGAAAGTATGGGATATGAAAATTAGGCTCTCGGAGATTTAAAGGCAGCAGAGAGGAAAAATGAGAGTTTTATTTTTTGATTCTTATAGCCCAAACTGAGAATGATCATTATGTAAGAATTAATTTCTTCTTGCAGGAAGACACTACTGTTGGCTCGACAGCTTAAAGACCGAGCTGTAGAAGCACAGTCTTGTTACAGTCTTGGAAATACATATACTTTACTTCAAGACTATGAAAAGGCCATTGATTATCATCTGAAGCACTTAGCAATTGCTCAAGAGCTGAATGATAGGTATGTTCCACATCTTTTTGCCATAACTAAGGTAAAATATAGATGCATTATTGAATCCCTATAATTTTTCCTTTGTTTCTTTTCCTTTATTTTCCTTAATATCCTTTTTAAGGAATTTTCTGTTTCAGTGATGTCTTCTATATATTGTTGTTTGAAGGGCTAGTCTGTGATGGAGGATTAGTCTGGTTCCATATGCCCTTGACCCAAGATCAGTGACTAGGTCCCAAACTCAATTACCACTTCAGAAGTCTTCCTGATGGGCCAGGCACTGGGGCTCACACCTGTAATCCCAGCACTTTAGGAGGCCAAGGCAGGCAGATCACGAGGTCAAGAGATCAAGACCATCCTGACCAACATGGTGAAACCCCGACTCTACTAAAAATACAAAAATTAGGTGGGTGTGGTGGCATATGCCTGTAATCCCAGCTACTTGGGAAGCTGAGGCAGGAGAATCACTTGAACCCAGGAGGCAGAGTTTGCAGTCAGTCGAGATCATGGCGGTACTGCACTCCAGCCTGGTGACAGAGTGAGACTCCATCACCAAAAAAAAAAAGTCTTCCTGACTACGTAAGTGTGGGAATTGTGGTGAACTTAAGAGATAATGTCGGGTATGAAGGGGGCTACTGCTACCCAAGTATAACTAATTGTTGCCAGGCAGGAATAAGAATCCATTATGTCCAGATCTTCCTGTCTTTTTTTAAAGAGAAGCTGGAAGTACTGAGTTTTACATGAAATCTGATTTTTAAATGTTAGTAGCTAATTCAGTGGTTTTGTTTTACTGTATGGAGAAAAAAAAAAAAAACAGTATATTTTTGCCAGCATTTCATCTGTAACGTTTGCTTTAGAAGATAGATTTTTTTTAACCTAAGTATGGGAGAGAACTTTTCCTTGCAGTTCAAAATGAAGTATGCTACCTCCAGAGGTAGTGAGACCCCCTGCTGCTCAAACACACTGGATGACTGCTTGGTAGGGCTGTTATAGAAAGAAAATGGGGTAGGCCGGGCGCAGTGGCTCACGCCTATAATCCCAGCACTTTGGGAGGCCGAGGCGGGTGGATCACGAGATCAAGAGATCAAGACCATCCTGGTCAACATGGTGAAACCCCGTCTCTACTAAAAATACAAAAATTAGCTGGGCATGGTGGCGTGCGCCTGTAGTCCCAGCTATGCAGGAGGCTGAGGCAGGAGAATTGCTTGGAACCTAGGAGGCAGAGGTTGTGGTGAGCCGAGATCACGCCATTGCACTCCGGCCTGGGTAACGAGTGAAACTCCATCTCAAAAAAAAAAAAAAGAAAGAAAGAAAATGGGGTAGTGGACCAGAATACCTATCCTTGAGATTTATTACTTTATCATGTATTTCATATTTTAAAAGAATGTTTTCTATGTTCTAATATTTGACTATGAGTTTAGTATTCTGTGGATATACATTTTTTTTAATCTGGGTATCTTAATATATCTATAATATCATGATAGTGTATTCTGTATATGAAAGACCAAATCAATCCAAAGGTTTCTTTATACCTTTAGTTCCTGCTAGATAGCTTTTATTCTCTACATAGGACCTCTTTTCAAATAACTGCATGTTTACTTTGAATAATGTTTTAGAATTGGCGAAGGAAGAGCATGTTGGAGCTTAGGAAATGCATACACAGCACTAGGAAATCATGACCAAGCAATGCATTTTGCTGAAAAGCACTTGGAAATTTCAAGAGAGGTATGAAACTAAAAAAAAACGCTGTCTGTGCTATTATAATTTACAAATTAGTGGTTAGGAAAGGGAACCCTATTATTTCTCCAGTTTGATCATATGGCTGAATAATAAATTTGATTATATATCATTCTCTTGGCATAGAACCCCACAAAGCATTCTGAGGTACAGATCACAGTTATGTTTGTGTTGGCTTTGCTGTAGGAAGACAGGAAGGTAAGGCTGGGCATGGGGAAATGGAAGGAGAGTACTAAAATATGCCTCTACCCCTATGTCTACATGGAGAAGTAGCATGGTATTGAAGGAAAAGCATGGTTCTTAGAATCAAGGACAGCTTCTTGTTGTAGTTCTGCCACTTGCTGGCCGTTTGAGCTTGGAAGCCTTTTGTGAGCCTCAATTTCTCCCATATGCAAAAGGGGAATAATAATATCTAGGTTGCAAAGTGTTATAACGATTAGAGATAATATATATTAAAAGTGCCTAGCATAATGTCTGGTGCTGGCGTAATAAACATTAACTATTATACTATGGAAATAAAATAAGGAAATGTTATTCATATACCAAATTAATGTGGCCAGGATAATCTACGTTATTACTTAGTATGATGCCAGAGAACAAGAGCAATCTAATGTTTAGAGAAGTAAAGAATTAAGAGTACAATTAGCTGTCCGATTGTGGTATTTTAGAAAATTCTTTTTTCTTTCTATATTCTTGAAAAAAAAACTATTAATGGAAAAAAAATTTTCATTCAGTCTCATAATTCTAATATACCATTTTCATTTCTCTATATTTTCTTCCAGCTGTAGTTTTACTACATTTACAAATAATCTTCACCATTCTTTGTCTTTAAGTACTATTCTAAAATATAAATGTTTGTGGTTGTAGGTTGGGGATAAAAGTGGTGAACTAACAGCACGACTGAATCTCTCAGATCTTCAAATGGTTCTTGGTCTGAGCTACAGCACAAATAACTCCATAATGTCTGAAAATAATGAAATTGATAGCAGTTTAAACGGTAAGTAATAGGACTTTTAAAACCCAATTTTTTATCCTCAATATTTAAAGTTATTTATCACAAGTTTGCCATATTCAGAGAGAATACATAACATAGGAAGATCAACTTATACTTTTTTTTGTTGTACACAGCTCCATTAATTTGTAAACATAAATATGTAATTATATGTAATATATAATTTGTAAATGTAAAACAACATTTTATAGTTTTTATCATGAACTTAGGAATGGCGATGGTATCATTCTTTTCTTTTGTAAAAATACATTTAAATTCTCTATCAGCTCATTCAAAAATTTATAAATGTGGAGGTGCCAAAATTTTTAAATGTTGTTTATTCTTTTTATCTCATACACTTTTACATATGTGATTTCTGGTTAGCTCTTTTTCCCCCATTTCATTTCCAAGGTGAATTTTCTTAGGACTTTATTTTTTTAATTCAGAAAATCTAAGATACCCTATTTTTCTTTCTTTTTTTTTTGTGGCAAAATCTGTTTTTAGGAAACTTTCCTTAGGTGCCAATTTGGTTTGACATTTCTATCGAGAGGAAACTTGCTATAAATGTCTCTTTTTGAGTGAAAAACGTCTACTTAATAAAGAAAAGGAATAAGATTAGGTTCATATTTTTAAATTTCATTGGTATGCGATTCTATATGAGATCATTTTCCTAAGCTTGAGAAATTCGCAGTCTAAAAAAAAAAACTACTGACAAATATTTTGAAGCTGAAAGTCAGTGATAAATCTACCTTTTCTCTTTCCAATTTTTTTCTTTAAAGTTATGGAAAAAAAGGAAAAGAAATTAATGACTACTCATCTGATTTAGACTTTTAAAGAATATTTAGTGAAAAGCTCTGAAGTGTGAGCCATATAATAATTTGTGACTGCGTGCTTTGTGGTTAAATGAGGGGCCAAAAAGTTTTTCTGTGTTGAACTTTCATATAGGTTATTCCATAAGAGCTCTCATCTTTAAAAAGCAAAAACAGTCACTTGTCTTCATGGACCATTCTAACTGTAGACCTGTTCCTTTGTTCCTTTCTATAACAAAACCTGGAAAGATACCAATTGTTCATTGTTTTTACTTCCTTGCCTCCCATTCTCTCTTCAACCCACTCCTGTTGGGCTTTGCCTTCTCCGTGACTCTGAAACCACCTTTCAAGGTTACCACAAACCTCCATTTTACCAAATACCTCAATGTCAGCTCACTCGATTTTTTTCAGCAATGTTTCCTATAGCCAGTCCTTCCCTTCTGAGAATACTTTCTTCATTCGGCCTCCAGGATTTCTGTATTTTTCTGGTCAGCCACTCTTGTCTTTATTCTCTTCTCTCCTCTTCATCTTTCTGTCCTCTAAGTTTGTAGTGCCCAGGGTTCAGTTCTTTGCAGAAATAACAAGTGAAAACGAAAATAACAAAAATGGTTAGGTAGCCTGAGGGGAAAAAAAAAAAAGCTAACATTTATTGAGTGCTTGTGATGTGCCAGGCACTGATTTAAGTGCTTTACATGTTTTAACTCATTTAATTGTAACAATTCTAGTAGTTAAGTTTCTGTTATCCTTAATTTACAGATGGAGAAATGGAGGCAAGAGAGGTTAGGTAAATTTCCCAGGGTTATCTGTGCAGTAAGTGGTAGAGATGGAAGTTAAACTTAGTCACTATGGCTCCAGAATCTGTTTTATGTGATAGTTTTGTCTTAATGTGATGTTAACACACCTCAATAATTGATAGATAAAAATCAGTCAGAAGTCAGACATCAATAATAAAATAGAGATTTGACCAACACAATTAATAGGCTTCATCTAATGCAATATTTTGCACACTATGTCTCTCACGCTTTAATGAGTTATAAAATCAGCCCATGGATTGCAGCTAGCATTAAAAATACACATACAGGAGCTGGGGCAGTGGCTCATGCCTATAATCCCAGAACTTGGGAGGACCACTTGAGCCCGGGAGTTTGAGACTGGCCTGGGCATATAGGAAGACCCCCATCTCTCCAAAACATTTTTTTAAATTAGCCATCCATGGTGGCATGAGCCTGTGGTCCCAGCTACTCAGGAAGCTGAGGTGGGAGCTTCAACCCAGGAAGTCGAAGCTACGGTAAGCCATGATTATGTGCCATTGCACTCCAGCCTGGGCAACAGAGGAGAACCTACCTTCAAAAAAAACCCAAAAATCTACACATATGTGTATATGTATATATAAAACTGTTGTGTGAAGATTTTGTTATGTTTGTCCTAGGTATATATGTGTATTTTTTAATATGGGGTCACAGCTTAAAAGTGAAAACCACCGATTTAATGGAAATACCTAACCACTCAATTCATGTTATTTTTAAGCATTCATGAAACATTCACAAAAAACTGACAATAAACCAAATCTCAACAAATTTAAAAGTATTTGTATCACATCTACATCACACATGCCCTGAGCACAGTGCAATTAATTTAGAAATTAAGATAATATATACAACATTCATCTGAAAACCTAACACACTTCTCAGTAACTTATAGGTTGAAAAAGAAATCTTAAAATTAGAAAATAACTTAGGAGGCCAGGCTCGGTGGCTCATGCCTGTAATCCCAGCACTTTGGGAGGCTGGAGGTGGGCAGATCACCTGAGATCGGGAGTTCAAGACCAGCCTGACCAACATGGAGAAACCCCATCTCTACTAAAAATACAAAATTAGCTGGGCGTGGTGGTACATGCCTGTAATTCCAGCTACTTGGGAGGCTGAGGCAGAAGAATTGCTTGAAAACCAGGAAGTGGAGGTTGCAGTGAGCCAAAGGTTGCTGTGAGCCTAGATCGAGCCATTGCACTCTAGCCTGGGCAACAAAAGCGAAAATCCATCTCGGAAAAAAAGAAAAAATAGGACTGAATTATAAAAATATTGTTTCAATTTTTTGGCACATGATTTACATTGGTACATAGAGCAAAGTGTGTGTTGTATTTAAAAAGGAAAAAGGCTGAAAGTGAGCTAAATATCTAGCTTAAAAAGTAAAGAAAAACTGAAAGAAGGCAAAAATTAATACAGAGCAGAATTTAATAAAATTAAAACAGATTCAGTAGAGATTTTTTTTCAAGTCAAAATTTGGTTACAAATTGTTTAATTTTAACTAATTACATCTACAGCAAGATTGCTCAAAAATAAAAAGGGCATAATAAATATGCAGAGATTAAAAAGAGATTCTGAATAACGTTATGACAAAATATTTGAAAATCTAGGAGAAATGGGCAATTTCTGGAAAAACAAGTTACCAAAACTGATCTAATGGTAGAATGTAATGTGAATGGCATGCTAATGGCTAAAATTATTTAAAAAATTAGATAAGTAACTTAAAATCTTCCCACTAGGAAAATACCTGGCCCAGATGGTTTTACAAGTGATGTAAACCAGCCACTTAAGAAAACTAATTATAACACTTTAAACAGAAATTTTATAGGCAACTGAATACGTGGAAATACTTTGTCTTTCTGAGAATCATGTAACCCTGATATCCAAACTGGACAAGAACAATACAAGAAAAGTAGGTCGGGGGCAGTGGCTCACAACTGTAATCCCAGCACTTTGGGAGGTGGAGGCCAGTGGATCACGAGATCAGGAGTTCAAGACCAGCCTGGCCAACATGGTGAAATCCCGTCTCTACTAAAAATACAAAAATTAGCCGGGTGTGGTGGCACGTACCTGTAGTCTCGGTTACTCAGGAGACTGAGGTAGGAGGATCGCTTAAACCCGGGAGCAGAGGTTGTAGTGAGCCGAGATCACACCACTGCACTGCAGCCTGGGCGACAGAGAAAAACTCAAAATAAAAAAAAAAAAAAAAAAAAGTGTGTGTGTATATATAATTTTTATTTAAAAAGTATATATAAATTATATATATATAAAATAAGCCTGAAAGTAAAAGGATAGAAGATTCATCATGCAAAACTAACCAAAAGACAGCCAGTATAGCATGTTAATATCAGATAAAAAGTACTTTAAGGCAAAAGGTCTTACTAGAAATGAAGAAGGTCGGCTGAGCATAGTGGGTCACCTTTGTAATCCCAGCACTTTGGGAGGCCAAGGCAGGTGAATCACAGCTTAGCCAACATGGTGAGATCCCCATCTCTACTTAAGATACAAAAGTTAGCTGAGCATGGTGGCAGGCACCTGTAATCCCAGCTACTGAGGAGGCTGAGGCAGGAGAACTTCTTGAACCCAGGAGGCAGAGTTTGCAGGGAGCCAAGATCATTACCACTGCACTCCAGCCTGGGTAACAGAGTGAGACTCTGTCTCCAAAAAAAAAAAAAGGAAAGGATTGCTTGCATCCAGGAGTCAAGACCAGCCTGGGTGGCATAGGGAGACCCCTGTCTGTATCAAAAATAAGTTGGATGTGGTGTTGCATGCCTGTAGTCCCAGCTACTTGGTAAGCTGAGGTGGCAGGATTGCTTAGCCCAAGAAGTCAAAGCTGCAATGAGCTGTGATTGTGCCACTGTACTCCAGCCTGGGCAACAAAGCAAGACCCCTTCTCAAAAAAGAGGTCAGGGACTGGCCAGGCATGGTGGCTTATGCATGTAATTCCAACACTTTGGGAGTCAAAGATGGGCAGATTATTGGAGGTCAGGAGTTCAAGACCAGCTTGGCCAATATGGTAACAAACAGTACACAAATAGCCCATAAATATATGAGAAGACATTTAACTTCATCTCATCAGCAAAAATTACAGTGGAGTACCATTGGAAACCTATGAGATGAACAAAAATTACTACCAGTATTAAAATGATGTGGGGTAATGGAAACTCTTATGTGGTATTGATGGGATAGAAATTGGTATACTGTGAAGTACAATTCAGCAATGTTCTGGTGAAGTTACTGCACATCATTTTAATACTGGTAGTAATTTTTGTTCACCTCATAGGTTTCTAATAGTACTTCACTATGATTTTTGCTGATGAGATGTCAAATATCTTCTCATATATTTATGAGCTATTTGTGTACTGTTGAATGATCCAACTGTATGATCCAGCTGTTCCACTCCTGTTCCACTCCCAGTTACATACTCCTGATATCCACCAAACTGGAAGAAATGCTTGTTCATGTACACTGAGAGACATTTCCAAGAGTATCTGTAGTATTGTTTATCATAGCAAAAAGTTGGAAGCAACCTAAATATCTGTCACTAGTAAAATGGATAATTTCCTAGTCCGCTGTACAGTCTGTTATTTTTGAGACTGTGTGGATGGTATAAACCAGTTATTATAAAACCTTTGCCTAAAAAGGCAATGAAAATGAATTAAGGTATACATATAACTTGGATGAATCTCACAAACATAAGACTTCTCAAAGCTAGTTGCAGAATACATATAGTATGATACCATTTATAAATGTTTCAAGGCTGGGCGCGGTGGCTCAAGCCTGTAATCCCAGCACTTTGGGAGGCCGAGGCGGGTGGATCACAAGGTCAAGAGATCGAGACCATCCTGGTCAACATGGTGAAACCCCGTCTCTACTA